ACTGAAATCCATCCATGCAAAAGTGGCTAGCTGTCTCTTTGGCATCATCCTGTAGATCCCTGTAATTCTTAATGTGTCATCAAATTTGGAATAGATACAAGGGATGTTTAACAATGAAGTGTTTTACACACGTCGTGGCAATCTTACAACTTTTTTTTTCTTTGTGTGTTACAGGATCTGGACGATCTGATCAAGGATATGGACAGCGATGAAAACAAGGTAAGTGAAGAATAGGATACATTGATCCTGGATAAGACCCAACTTTTGTGGTCTTTCCTGCTTCTTCCATTATCTTGTGCTCTCTAGGTTTAGCAGCAAGTATCAGAAGATTCAGTGATACTTGCAAGGATGTGGCCTCAGAAGAATAAAAGAAAGCTGCTTTGAAAGGGTTATAGTAATTCTGGCCCTTGCTCATGAGCTGTTGAAGATGAGGCTCCTCATCTAGCTGTCCTGTCATTGAAAAAAACCTTGTCAAAAGACCTGGAGGGTCCCCTGCAGAATCTGGAGCATAATTATTTAGCCTGCACTTTCGCTTTCCATGGCAAACTTTTGCAGAGGCTGCAGACAGCTGTGACTATCAATGAATCCTTTGTGTGCCCTGAGCTGCTCGTTATTCCAGAATTTGATTCTTTCTCTCCTGTTAATGAACACATCCATTGTAGTGTTTCTAATTCTGGTAAATTCTCTTTGCGAAAGGCTGCTGCTCTCAGAGAAAGCCACAACTAAAATACTTGCTTATCACGAATGAAACAGCATAGCTTTGTGCTATTTTTCAAATAGTGTTTCTCCAGTAGTGGATATTGAAACCCAAATTCTTTTAAATGAGCTTCGTTCTTTTTATGCAATGGAAAAAATAGTAGGTTGAATGGCCGATGGGGAATTTGGACCCTCCAGACGATGTAGGGCTGTAATTCCATCAGCCAAAGGCAGTGTAGTTAACCAGGAGGGCCTGATTCCCCACCCTTTGTTAAATAAACAAGGGGAAAGGAAAGATGTATAGTATCCTTGAGACTAAAGCAATATCCATTCTGATCACTTGTTTGTCAATTCTAAAAGCTCCAGACAGAAATTGAATGTGTCCTAGCCAACTCCCCAGGCTGATCAGTATTGAGATTTATTTTAAGATTTGGTAATTAATGCATTCCAGTTCCTGATCAAGAGAGCAGCCATGCCAGCTGTTCCAATACCTGGAATTGTCCCAACCTTGTGTGTATACTGTTGTTCTAGGAACCCAGCTAATGCTTTTTGGTTCTGATTCAAAAGTTCCCACATTTCCACTCACATAAGGTTTGTGCAGGTTTGTCACCCTTAGAGAAAGGTTGTGAATCAATGGCAGAGCATATGCTTTGCATTCAAAAGGTCCAATCCTCACCATCTTCACGTAGGGCTCTCCTGTCTGAAACCTTGGAGAGCTGCTGCTAGGCAGTGTTGAGGACACTGAATTAGGTGGATCAGTGGTCTGACTCTTCTCTCTATTCCCTGTGTTTTGACCGATTCCCACGTCCAGCCACAATCCTTTCCATCACATCCCATGCTTTTCTGGAGGATTCCCCCAGCCCTCAAGCAGATTGGCAAGGGAGAGGGTGGAAGTGTGCGGGGCTATACCAGGAAGCTGGTGAGAGACCCCCTTCCTGTTAAGTAGAAATCCACTTGCAGAAGGAAAAATCCCACCGTTTTCTCTCTCCGTTTCAGATCCAAGCATATCTGAAATGCCACAAGCTACGTTCCGCTTACCTGGTCTCAGTGAGACAAGAAAACGCTCGCGCTGTGCAGTTGGTCCTGCATGTACGGCAGTTGGCTGAGGATAGTGGGGAAGATGTGGTGCAAGCCATCTGCAGCCAGTGGCTTTCAGTGCACCACACCAAACCAAGAAGCTGGCTCACTCAGGGCTCCAAGAAGTGACTTCCAGCAAGCGTATCATTGTTGGTGGTTTGCTTTTTTATAAAGGGAAGGCTCTGCATTGTGTTGGTCAGAACAGCTTAGTCTATGTATGGCAGCAGGTTGGAAAGGAGCTGCTCCAATGCCTCTTCCGAAAAGGAAAAGACTGCTGACTAAAAGTGCCAATCATGTCCTGATGACAACCAACTATCTCTACCTCAGGGTGTGTTCTCTCTCTCTCTCTCTCTCTCTCTCTCTCTCTCTCTCTCTCCCCACCGCCCGGCACAACCTAAAAATGTTAATGTTTCAGTCTTTCATCAACCATATTCTCCTGTGCTGCTATCAGTACATGTATCCCCTGGGCATTGTTTTATTAATTTAAAACCCACATCGGTTAAATCTAGTTTGGAACTTATCTTGTGATTCTGCTAAAGCAAAACTGTATCACAGGCAAATCTGTATAAAGACATAGTAATGTGGGTTTTGAATTTTGGAATATGTAGCAGATGCATCTCTAGGATTTGCTTTTGTACAGGTATGTGCTGTTTCTCCTATAGGTATTGGAAAGCAATGGGAAATTCTTATGAGGAGGAAGCTTCCTTTCCTGTTTCGAGAAACACACAAGTTTGCTGAGATGCACTTTGTCCTGCTGCTAATTGACAGATACTAGGATAGCCTAATTCCTGGAGCAAACTGTACTTGTACCACTGGTCAGTTGTAAGATCCTTAAACTGGTCTGATATGTGAAATTTGGAAACAAGTTCCAATTGTTAAAACTGCCATCTGTGGACTTAGCAGAGCTTTTTACGACATGTGCGTAGCGTGAAAATTATTGTAAAAAATTGTCCTCTCTGTTGTAGAAAATACACCTCCAGCGGGTGGTTGATTTAATTATATTTTCTCACAAGTCATAAACTTTAATGATCTATTCATTGACCAAAACCAACTTTGCAGAACAGAAGACATTTGAGTGAAATAACTATTGTGTGTATATGTGAACTAACTGGAGCAGAGTGCAGAGTGGCAGCCTAGGCCAAGCAATTATAGGGGTGAGATAGTTGTGCAAGCTTGGAATCTGTTTGCCACAAATCTTTCAATAAAAGTTGCCTCTGTAGCAGCAACTTTAAGCAGCTTGCTGTCAGCCAGAAGCACTCAATGAAAGCCACAATGTCTTGCTGTAAATATGAGTAGTAATGGAGCTGTGCATAATTCTGCACATTGCCATGTGATGCAATAAACGTATAAAGTTAAATAGTAAATACAGTAATTCTCACCATTGCCATGCCTGACTGATCAATAAACGTATAAAGTTAACAGCAATAGCCGCTTAGCCAGCAACAGCTGCTGCAGCCTCAGCTAGCAACGCTCTCTAAACGGAGCAATGAGGCTGCAGAGGGACGGCAGGGCACAGGAGGGCTCTGAGCCACGAGCGCAGTGAAAACCAGTAAAAAACGTTTTTAAAAAGGCTGCTGGGGACAGGAGGGCACGGGATGAGGGAGAGAGGGAAATTACGATTCTCCCAGCGTCTCAGCTGATCCGCTGAGCAGGACTTGGGTTGCAGGGGATTCACCATTAGCTGCGTAAAGCAGCAAAGAGGGAGAGAAGGAGCAAAGTGGGAGAGGAAAGGAGCTGCTTACACTGCTGTAAGTGGCTGCTGTCTGGTTGGCTCCTTTAAAGCAACAGTGCTCTTTCCCTCCCCCCTCCCCTCTCAGCTCCCCGAAAAGCTCCTTTTCCACACACCCCACTCGAGCTCCTTCTCCCCTTAAATCCCTCTCCTGCATCATTAGCCACATCCTTTTCCACACACCCCACGCGTGTTCCTTCTCCCCTTAAATCCCTCTCCTGCATCATTAGCCACATCCTTCTCTACACACCCCATGCATGTTCCTTCTCCCCTTAAATCCCTCTCCTGCATCATTAGCCACATCCTTCTCCACCCACCCCACGCGTGTTCCTTCTCCCCTTTAACCGCTCACCTGCATCATTAGCCACATCCTTCTCTACACACCCCATGAGTGTTCCTTCTCCCCTTAAATCCCTCTCCTGCATCATTAGCCACATCCTTCTCTACACACCCCACGCGTGTTCCTTCTCCCCTTTAACCGCTTGCCTGCATCATTAGCCACATCCTTCTCCACCCACCCCACGCGTGTTCCTTCTCCCCTTTAACCGCTCGCCTGCATCATTAGCCACATCCTTCTCTACACACCCCATGCGTGTTCCTTCTCCCCTTTAACCGCTTGCCTGCATCATTAGCCACATCCTTCTCTACACACCCCACGCATGCTCCTTGTCCCTTGAATGCTTTTCCTTCCCTCCCTACTTAAAACGTGGTTACAAAGCACGGATCCACATGGATCCTCAGGATTTTTGCACTGGGTCACCCCAGGTTCACCATCAGATCACATAAAATGTCCATGGCTACAGCCTGCACCAAAAAAATCACGCACCCACTGTTTCATGGGGCTGCAATGGCGCAAAAACGTGGTTACAAAGCATGGATCCACAGGATTTTTGCATTGGGCTACCCCAAACTCACCGTCAGATCACGTTTGTGGCCACAGCATGAACCACAAAAATCATACATCCACTGTTTTGTTTAGAATATTTTTTTCTTGCTTTCCTCCTCTAAAAACTACGTGCGTGTTATGGTCAGATGCGTGTTATAGAGCGAAAAATACGGTAGAATCCAGAGAGGAAGTTGCCCCCACAGCCACTTAGACCATGGCCTAGACCCTTCGGGAGTCTGGACTGATTCTAAATGTAATGCCCAGTACCTGGTTTTTGTCATCCCATTCGCTAATTACCTGTCTATCCTGCTGTCTTTCCAGTTACCACAATTGGAAGCATAATTTGCAGTGGGCTTTAAAATTCCTTTTAAATCTAAGGCAGGGCATCCAGCTAAAACCCTTCAACTCAGTTGATGGGGCCCATCAGTTTCTGTGAAAAGGGAACCTAATTGATTACAAGGGGGTGTGGGAATTGAATTGTAGGTAATGTCGCTGCACTAAAGTGATGGTAAGTTAACTGCTGTGCATGATGCACAGTCAATCCATAAGCATACTTAATTGTTTACACCTTAAAACACTCGGGTTTTTAAGGTTAATATTGTCCTTTCCTGCTAACTTTAACATGGTTGACCTTTATTTATGGGTCTTAGCATTACATCATAGCCACAAATGCTAGGAACAATTAGTTCATGGGATTTGGTGTCCAGAAATAGCTTGCAGCTTAAGTTATATACATTCAGCTTTCAAGTTCTTCCACCTCCTCAGTCTTGAAGATTATCCTATTAGGAATTTAAGGCTTACAAAAGCTGCTTTTCTGTCTGTCAGAACTGAATTTCTACTGGGCTTCAGAAGAACGTGATGTGACTGTACGTGGTATTGATCAGTTTTCTCATGGGAAAGCATGTGGGGGGGGGAGAAAAGCACTAATTCTATATACAGTATTTTAAGTTGCTATACATCTCTCATTCCCTTGCCTGTCTCTTACATACGTCTTCACAGGAGAAACAATAGACCCTGCTATGGTGAAGATTCTATACTAATTCTGTGTTCCCTTTTGCACTGTACTCTATGCACTTTACATTGTTTGCAACTCAAAAATCCTTAGTGGCTCACTCTAAGGTGTTTTTTTCCACCAGCAAAACCTGTCCTATAAATTGCCCTGCCTCATAAATACTGGTGTTGATGAGATGAAACCTTCTGATGAACAAATGTTGACCCTTGATGAGAGATGAACTTCTGTCCATAATGAACAGGAATAAAGCATATTTTGTCAATTTATTTCATTTAGTTTAACTTTGACATACGTTGGGATTTTTGTATTAAATTACATTAAATTAAATCATAGAGATCAATGTTTAAAAGCAAAGACAGAGCAGTGCAAGTTTGAATGTTTAATTTAGTCAGTGTATTGAGAAATGTCCAGTGCTGAATGCCAAACAAACTTCCAGCCAAAGAAAATGGACTTTGCATTACTTTACTTAAACTAAGTCCCCTCGACACAAGCAGAACTTTTTTTCCTGTAAGCCAACTTGTGGTCACAGCACCAAACATTTATGCAGAATCTGACTCCTTGTAAAAGTTATCTGTCCAACAACTAAATACTCAAAAGGCATGCTGCTGGATTTATTTCTCATTTTCCCTCAGAAAATTAAGAATACCATGCCCACCCCATGGCTCTATTGTTCTGACAAAGGGCTGTTAGATACTAACAAAGCACTTACGTTATACAAAATAATAGTATGATCAATTTACAGCTAAGCTCCCTACTGTAATACCAAGTTATCTACTAGGGCACCCACCAAGCTCTTTTTAACCCAGAGAGAATTAAAGTTATTTCATGCTTTCCCCCATGCTGTCTGTTTAGGGCCCCCCTACCACTTTGATTGGTTCATTCTTCTTTTCAGGGTCCACTAGCCATTCTCCCCACGGACAACATTCAATTAAATAGTTCTAAATTATACACTAGCAGCCTGAAGTTGTGTTGACACCAAGGAGAGGGAGGGAGCAAGAAATGTCTGTACCCGAGTACAAGAGGCCATTTGGTCATGGGGCAGGAAATCAAAACAGATTTTGAAGAACTGATTTAAGAAGAGAGGCTGGCCTTCTCTGCATTGGTGGGAATTGGCTGGTTGACTAGAAAATGGGAGGCTTAAAGCAAGAGTTTTGGAGCTCAGAATACACACACCTTGTACTTACTGATTTGAGCAAGCAACTCCTATCTTCATCTCAGCAGCTTGCCTTATGTGGAGTGTTTTATGGCTGGCAGCCATTTTGTGATATCCTCACAACTCAAGTTCAAAAGTGTAATTGGACCCCAAATCTACAGGGAAGTTAAACCTATGTGTTTAAACTCAACTTGCCCTGAACTGAACTGGCCTCAACTAGCTATCATATAATGCTTCCAGAAACAATATTCCATTTGCAGGTCTAAACTCTCAATGCACCATTTCTGATCACATTTTATGTTCCAGAGGCCAGCAAAAAGCTGGCTTCTCGTAAAAGATAAAGTAGCAGTACAAACAAGTATCTACTGTAGCCGGATTGACAGATCTCAGTTAACCTCCATCAGGAACCTAAATGTAATAGTGATTAATTTATCAAACAAATCAACACTGAGGAGTGAGAGACTAGGTACAATGCATGCTTGTATTTTGGCAACTGCTCCTTCCATATTTATGCATCAAACCAAGAGGAGGATGGCTGTTCTCATGTTGGAAACCAGAGCATGCTGATAGCTATGTTGTGTATATGAAAGCCTTGAACGGCTCTCTTTATGATAAACAAAATTCAAAACTTGGGTATCAAATGACCGTGTAGGAGCTGCATCCTTCAGCTCTGACAGTGTTTGCCTTTTCCAAGAAATAACTCACTAGGCATGTACAACTCTAGGGAAAGATCACCCCTCATTCAGTCCCAATGGATGCCCAATAGTTCACAGCTGACGTCCCAGAGCTTCTTTGCTGTTTCTTCATTGCGTCCTTGAGGAGATACATATGCTGGTTTGCAGTCACTGTCACATAAAGGAAAGTTTCTATTAGGAATTCAGGATGGCATAATTGAAAGCTGTGGTTAGCAAATATGAAAAAAACACAAAACTATCAGGTTAGAACTCTTCTCATCTCCCTATGTGCGGAGTGATTTTATGAGGAGTGGAAACAAAACAGTCAGCTCCCACCTACAGTCTGAATTGGAGCAGCTTAGGGAAGCAGGTATGTGAAAATACATGCTCAAGTCTCCATCCCTTGAGTCTTCTCATCTGCTGGCACAAGTTTATAGCAGTCTGCACTTTCCCTAAATGCAGCCTCTACTTCCTGCAAACATAACAGCTGGTGTAGCTGTTATGTATTCAGTTGGTGTAGCTGTTATGTATTCAGCTCAGTGGTATCTTTGCATCTCCACGCTGCATTAGAACCTACCTCTACCTTTTGAAGAGCTGAGACATCACACACCTTAATACTATGATGGAATTCCTCAGCCAGCCTGATTTAAGAAGCATGAAGTAAATGCCTTTGGACTACATATCCCCAGCTACATTAAGAACCCAGGGCAGGGAGGGCTGTACACATAGCTCCCAAATATGGATCGCCACCAGCATCACTGGTTAGAGCAGTCTTTCCCAACCTGCAGCCTTCCAAATGATAGTAGACTACAACTCCCAGTATCCCTGACCATTCGCTATGCTGACTGGGGCTGGTGGAAACTGGGAGTCTTAACACCAACTCAAGAGCACCAGGTTGGGCAAAGCTGGGTTAAGCGCAGATGTAGTGCAGAACACATGGTCAACAATGGCTCTGAGATCACCATTCATTTAGGCAAGGGTGCCAGTTTTGGACGTCCAGCCCTTCCCAAGAGAAAGTTGGTGCTGCCCATATGATACTGCTAACTGCTAGCAGTCTACTATCATGCACACAGCTAGATTGGGGCCCTCCCTTCTCTACAAGAGATGTAGGCGTTAGAAAAATTCATCCCTGATAGGTAATTTTTTGCATTATTTCTGTGGCTCAAAAGGAGTCCAGCTTGTTCTGGTTGCAATCTGACATCCTGTTGACATTGTTCTCCCAAGCCTCGTGTCATTGCTTAGCACTGAAGACATCCTTGAGATCTGGATTAAACCATTGTTTCCCCACTCTGCAACCCAATGCTAGTTCTTCCACAGCCTCAACTCACCTGAAATACTTCCCACTCACTGATTCCAGCTCCTCTGCCACTGCACAATACACACTGGTTTGGGCTCCTTCCGCCGGTGTCTTCAAGAAGAAAGACGACCTTTTCCATACAATATCTAATATAGCTGAATGGCGGGGTAATTCAGAAGAGACTGTTCCAGGATGCAGGACATTTACAGTGACACCAGTGCCTACAAGGGAGGAATCATGCGTGCTTTAGAAAAGCATTTTGGAAGCAGGCACATAAACCAACATAAAAAGCAAAATGGATCCCTTCTTTTGTTTGTCTGAATTGCCACAGAACAAAAAAGATTAGTTTGCACCTGGAAATGAAAACACAAGTATTTCTCATGTGTCTATATAAAAAAGTACGTTTAACGGTACTGATATGACACACAATCTATTGCCGCTGGCTGTCGCTTGCTCCTGAAAACAAACAAGCACACACACAAACCAGGTACAACCCTAAGGTATACTTCCCTGGAACTATTTAGTGGGTAGAGCCTTTGCCAAAAAAGTCCCTGGTGCCAAAATGTGCTGCTGTCTTTTTGAAGGTGCAGTTCAATCCCATCAATCATTGACTGGGATTAAGTCCAATGTGTTCCATACGACTGCAATCCAACAACAACAACAATAATTTATTATTTATACCCCGCCCATCTGGCTGGGTTTCCCCAGCCACTCTGTGCAGCTTCCACCAAAACACTAAAATACAATAACCTATTAAACATTAAAAGCTTCCCTAAACAGGGCTGCCTTTAGATGTCTTCTAAAAGTAGTTTGGTAGTTATTTTTCTCTTTGACATCTGGTGGGAGGGCGTTCCACAGGGCGGGCGCCACTACCAAGAAGGCCCTCTGCCTGGTTCCCTGTGACTTGGCTTCTCGCAGCGAGGGAACTGCCAGAAGGCCCTCAGAGCTGGACCTCAGTGTCTGGGCAGAACAATGGAGGTGGAGACGCTCCTTCAGGTATACTGGACCGAAGCCGTTTAGGGCTTTAAAGGTCAGCACCAACACTTTGAACTGTGCTCAGAAACGTACTGGGAGCTATGAGAGCCCTGGGTGGCCAAGCCAGGAAGCACACAGCATCAGCTTCTGACACAACCATCAACAGCCAGACAGAGATGTTGGGCAGCTTCTCCCCCACCTTCCTGGGGCTGTTGAAGACCTGTGTGCTCTGAAGGCAGGCAGAAGTGAGAGAACTCAGGCTAGGGAGCAGACGTAACATCAGCTCCCAGTTGGCCTTGGAGGGCTCTGTCACCTTGAATTTTATACGGTGCATTTGTTCTAGTGTTTTAAAGTTATAAACCACCTTGGCAGAAAGGCACCATGCAACTCGCACAGAGAAACAAGTACATAAATAAAACTCAAGTGTACTTAGGACGGCAACTATAGAGCACCTATAGATTGCTGCAGTATGTCTTCCCTTTGATTTCAGCTCACAATCTGCACTGTCTGTCCAGATCCTTGAACAAATATTTAAGAAAACTGAGACATCGTCTGCATAGGTCACTCTTTTAAACCTCCCTCCTCCCCAAAACAATCCCAGTTTCCCACCATACAAAGTCACACTAAGCTCTTTTTAAGATGAGATTCTGAACAAGAGGCCGCTACATGCTTCCAGCTCACCTTGCAGTCGTCTGGCCAACTCCCGGGTAAAGAGAATATTGGCCAGTTTGCTATGACAGTATGCCAGGCTCCGATTGTAGGACTTCTCGCCCTGGAGGTCATGGAAGCGAATCCTCCCACCATGATGGGCCAGTGAGGATACATTGACTATGCGTGCTGGTGCCGACTGCTTCAGGCAGTCTATCAACAGGAATGTTAGAAGGAAGTGCCCTGGAAGAGAAATGGCGATGAAGCTTTGGATGCAATTCTACCCAGGATGCAGCAAAAACTCTTTTTAATGTTACAGGAATGTCGCTCGGCATGACAAACAGGACACAAGGCCAAATGAAGTAAAAATCCCCAAAGAGAGAGATTCCTCCAGAGAAGTTCTGTGGGTGGCAATACCAGGTCCCAAAAGTTATTTAAGACTGGGGATGTAACAGTGTAACCAAAATGCTCAAGGTGATGGGAGTATGAAATCAGGGACAAAGTATTTTAGTAATTATAACAGGAAATTTAAGCTCCCATCACACAGCCAATGGGGTAAATGTATGTTCAAGTCATGACAAAGAGGTAAAATTTCTAGATACCCTAAATGGGTGTGTGTCCTGGAACAGTTGGTGATGGAACCAACCAGAGGGAAATCAAACCTTAACTTAATCTTTAGTAGTGCCCGGGACCTGGCGAGATATGACAGTACTGTTAGCCAACTAGAAACATTCCAAAACATTATTAATGTAAAAAGGGCAAACCCATTCACCCAACCCACACCTCAGGACCTTACCCAGGTGGTTGACTCCTAGATGCATCTCAAAGCCATCGGCTGTCTTGGAGTAGGGGCACAGCATAACCCCTGCATTGTTAATGAGGATATGGAGTTCTTTCTCCTCTACAAGAAAGCACATGGAGGGCACACTATGAAATAGGAAAACCAAGATAAAACCCTAGTGATAGCACAACACGGTCTGCCTCATGGCTGTCAGCTTAACTCCTGTTTTGCAGTTCCTCCCATGATTCATTAGTCTTGCAGACTGCCTCAGAGCATGGGTCTACATGTACGAGGACAGGTTGCGCAATAACTTTGAATGGAATATAGTAAGTTTTATTTCCAGTCATGGGCAAACTGATTTTCTGATTACCTCAAACCCAACAGTCTTGTTTTACAGTGTCAGATGTCATGGTAAGACTGAAATCCTATACATTTTCACCTGGGTGTTAAGTCCCATTGAACTCAACATAACTTGCTTGTGCTGTTGGAATCCAAGTCTCTGAACAAACAGAGAAATGTTTCTATGCTGGGCTCATGTATTATACACAGTGAAGCAAAATATTTGAAGAAAAGCAACTGATTTCAAATAAGGGTTGAAACAGTTAGTAGAGCGTGAGAATCTTAATCTCAGGGCCATGGATTCAAGCCCCATGTTGAGCAAAAAAAAAAAAAAAAAAGGCCGGTTTGATAAGTCAGAGCTGCCAATAAACCACAAAACCAGGTTTGGACATAAAACAGTTATGGCTTTGCTCTAGTTATACAGCAGCAGGAGGACCAGGGAAGGAGCAAAGTGGTCACATTTTTTATTCCATGCTTGTTCATTCTTGCCAAGCCATACTTTGGCTTAGCATTACATGCAAACACGACCAAGGAGTCTCAAACATACCTTTGAGGAAATTCTCAGCAAATTCTCGAATCGACTTGGTGTCTGCCAAGTCCAGTTTCTTTGCCGTAACCTGCTGATTCCCTGTCGTGGTCCGGATTTCACAGGCTGCTTTTTCTGCCTTTGCCATATCTCTGCAAGCAAGGATGACTTTGGCACCTGCAAAAAGGAAAAGCACGGAATTAATGAACAGCACAAAGGGGTACAGAAGGTAGAAACTATGTGGCTCAAAAAGGTTCCAGGTAAATGACTCAAGTCCCATCCTTAGAATTACAACAGATTTTCAATAGTATGTTGAACAGGACCAGCAATAAAATGATGCCATTTGTTCAGATCTCTAGCCAGTCAGTCACACCTAGGAGGGTGGGTGTTATACTTTATACGTGTTTAATGGTTTTCAGTGTTGTTTTATAGGGTTACTTACTTGCTTTTTAATAGTTATATATATTGTATGTTCTTTGTCATATCTATTCAAATCTATGCTGTGAGTCGCCTTGAGAAAGGCAGAATATAAGGGAATAAGAAGGCTTCGGACCAACTTGTTCCAAAACAAACTATTAATTTACAGCTTTAGTAAGGTGAAGAAAACAGTTTTTGTGCAAACTATTTTAAGGAGGGGAGCCTAGTTTTACAATTGGGGGGGGGTTTACCTATAAGAGCAATTAAAAATAAACAGCCATACCTATTCTAGTGTCCCCCCTCACAAAGCCAATACTTTGCCATTTGTAACCTCAGTTCAGTTTCTGGGTTGTTCCCCTTAACTTTTTAACATCTAGACAATCAGAGGAAGAGCTAATTCCTGGTTATGTTTCTATTTCTCCTTTACTGCCAAATCTGAAGGCCAAACCTTTGGCACTCCTGTACAGAAAAGCCTCCAAAACCAAACAGCAACCATTTTACTAAACTAAACTAAGCACAAAATGGCTGTTAAGTCCCATTCCTTCCCACACTGGATCTCAGCTAAATACTGGTTGTGCTTCATGGAAAAGGGATAAAATATTTTCTATCAAGGAAGGCTACAATATATACATAGTCTCAAGTGTTGTGTCTCAAGGATAGAAGGGCACATTTCACCTCAAGGGCTGGTGAAGGGCATGGGGAAGAGTCCCGAGGGCCAGTTATAAAGCCTTGGAAGGCTGTGTTTGTAGGAGTGCAAATATCCAGAGTGTGGGGTCAGGTGGGATTACTATGAGGAAATATAAAATATGCATCAAGCCATTGTGTCCACGATGAATGCATTGTGTTGACTGGGTTTGATACATTGACAATAATTTCTGATCAAATCCCACAACCCTCTGCATCTCTGGCCCTTTCCTCTACTGCCCATTTCTCTTGCTTGACAAGTCAGGTACACACTTAGACAGGCAGGCGTCCTGGGTCATCAAAGACAGTGGGCAGTTTCTTTGATGTAGCTTTTCTGATATGTTAATCTTAGGATGTTAATTTTGGGGCCACGAAGCAGATCTCACCTGAAGGTGATAATGATCGCTGTCCTCCTGGCCATCCTTCTTATCATGTATATTGCTTGTTTATCACCTCCGGGGTTGCCAAATGCACTCCTTTGTAGTTCTGTTCTTTATTTACCCCAGAAGTGCATGCTTTATTAGTTTTGGTAGTTTAACTTTGTCCCCACGTGGGGTTTGTTGTAATGCCCAGAAGAAATCTGATTGGTTCTTACGAACACTCTGTAAAAAGTTCTTTTGTGAATAAAACGACCTGGGCCAAGGAGTGGAGGAAGAGATTATTATACGCACCCTTCCCAGGGTCTTGCTGGTTCAAGCCTCTGTGTGTATTCTTATTAATCAGAGTTCAATCCTTCCTTTACTTTGGGAACACCTCATGTGTTTGTCTCCCACGGCTTCCCACATCACACCAGCAAACATGAGAATAAGGCGTTCTGGCCAAATTAAATCTTCAGCACAGATAGTGCTCAAGGCTGCAAGCCTAATTGTACTCACCAGGTAGTAAGCCCCATTGAATTTAATACATGGTTAGGATTGCCCTTTTTATTATCCCTCCTGCATGCCTTGTGAAAGGCTTGTCACAGGAGAAAACTGCTGGTGGGTGGGGATAAGTAACTTGCCTCTTCCTGCAAGGTCTCGGGCAGTTTCCTTCCCAATGCCGGTGTTGGCCCCTGTGATCACAACAACCTTCCCATTGAGCTTCGCGGCAGACTTGCACACTCCTCCTGCAATAAACTTCCTACAAAAATAAGGACACATCAGTCAATCACAGATTCAATGAATGTGGCAAACTGCTACTTTATTTACATGTTAAATATGCACAGTCAAGTCTACGCTATGAAAATGACTCTGAGAAAAGTTCACCTCCATAATTCTAAAACAACAACAACAACAAAAAGGTGAAGCAAGATCACAACCTTTATATCTCAAGTAGAAAGGCCCAGAAGTAGAAAGAAGATAATTGCTTACTAGACAGCTCTGCAGGTGCTTATTGGAATGACAGACCCTTCCCTCATTTGCAGACGTAAAGAAAACACTCTTCACAATTTCTCTCCAGATTTGCTTTGAATGGCCCGTTTTCTAATCAGACTTTTCTGATTGCACCTACAGGCCACACTTTAACTGTTGATGACGGGGAGAGAGACTGTCGCTCATTTTTCTAACTTGTGTGTGACCAATATACATTAGCAATCCTAAACACACACACATACACAGCCACATGGAAGTCACTTCTCTGGGACACAATCCCACACCATCAGGAGCCATGTAAGCATATCATAGCCACCTTGAGAAGGTATCAGTTGGGTGGAAAGACCCACTTCATCAGCGTCGCTTAGATAGTTGTGATATTCCACTTAGAGATGTGAGATCACATCATACCATGCCACTAGGATAGTGTGAAGGGGGACAGGTCTGCCATCTTGCTTTTGTGTGGCATTATTACCTCCATCCCTTCTTGGCATTACTGATAAATTGCCCCTTTGTCTCTACACAATTAATTGGATCCTGTTCCTCACAGTGGTTAAGTGTGGGGCTTCCATTACTTGCTTCCTATAATTGTTTAATTACAAAATAGTGCTATTTCACACTAAAGGGGGGGGGGGTGAAATTAATTTAAAAGCTAATAGGACCCCTGCCCCCACCACCCAAAACATACACATACTGGGAACAGAAACCAAAAAATTATGGGGCAATTAGTCAGTAATGCCAGCCTATACTGAACTGGAGTTATTCAAGGAAGAAGCCATAAGGAGAAATTTTCTTAACAAAAGCTGCTGGGGAGCATCTGAGGAATAAGGCTTCTACCTAGCAGTTCGAAAGCACCCCCAGGTGCAAGTAGATAAATAGGGACCGCTTTCTAGCGGGAAGGTAAACGGCGTTTCCGTGTGCGGCTCTGGCTCGCCAGAGCAGCGATGTCACGCTGGCCACGTGACCCGGAAGTGTCTCCGGACAGCGCTGGCCCCCGGCCTCTTGAGTGAGATGGGCGCACAACCCCAGAGTCTGGCAAGACTGGCCCGTACGGGCAGGGGTACCTTTACCTTTACCTTACTCAGAAAACTCAGCCAATGGGATGGGAACTAATATAGCATCATATTCAGTGTTGCATGGAACCAATATGGCCCAACCAATACCTGGTAGGTTTTGTTCTTCGTTGTTTATAAAGAGATTTTTAATCTTCACAGTTATCACATTGAAGCAAGAATTGGTTCAACAAGTTTATACCAATTCTTGCCTCGAGATTCTTGACTGAAGCTGAATCCTAACAAGACAGAGATGCTGTGGGTTGGTGGTTCTAGTGCCTTGTAAGAGGCCAGTTCTGAACTGGGTCACACTCCCCCCATGAGCTTAGGGGTACTCTTTGATCCAGATGTTACCACTGGAGGCCCAAGTAGCATCAACGGCACAGAGCACCTATGTCCAACTTCAGGTGGTTTGCCAGCTATGGCCGTGCCTGAACAGTGACAGCCTGGCCACAGTAATCCATGCTCGGGTAGGCTCCAGCTTAGATTGTATTTTACATCAGCTGCAACTGCCAGAGAACAGAGTGTTTGGTAAAGCTGCTTGGAATCATATAACACTGGTTCTGAAGAGTTTGTTCTGGCTGCCTATATGCTACTGTGCAAATTCAAAGTTTTAGTACTTATGTACAGAGCCCTGAAATTATGACTCAGTTATCTGAAGGAGCACCTCTTTTGGGATTCTTCTGCCCAGCAGTTAAGTTCTGCTGGGTGACTCCTTCTAGTCACTGAGTAATGTCCAAGGTGCTTTGGCTTTCACAGTGGAAGTCCAGATTTTCTATTTCTATAAAGCATTTCTATATCACCATAACATAAAATATCACACAGCTGTGGAATGTTCTTCCCTGGTGCAACACAGTTCACCTTTCGGCATGAGCTGAAAACCCATTTCTTCCTCCGCCGCCCCCCATTGGCTCCCCTGATCAAAGAAAACCTTATTATCAGCTACCAGAAAGCTATGTCCTTGTTTTTTTTACAGTGTTAGAACATTCACACACACACTATGCAAACATAACAGACAACTAAGTGAAAGGTAAATTAAGTTGGTTTTAGAACATTCTCGGGTAATGTTTGATGTTTTATTGTTTTTAATATTCTGTTGGGAGCCACCCAGAGTTGCTGGGGCAACCCAGTCAGATGGGCGACATAGAAATAATAAAATTATTATTACTATTATAAGGTATTAGCAGTGTTTTTCCAGTTTTATTCGGTTTTTATCCCTTGAGTTCTTAGACCCTCCCCCACATGGATCTTTAAAACTTTTATTGTAAAAACTTTCTAACAGAAGATTGTGGGAATCTTACACAATGGGTAGGAACAGTTACCCAATGAAAATACAAAGACAGGATCATTTTATTCCAAGACCTTTGACAGCCTCCTAATCGGTTAACTGGTTCAGGGAATTATATAAAGTAGTGCCCAAAGATACCCTGTCTCTTTCATTTGTACTTTAGGATGTGACTAGGAATCCTCTCCACAATACATTTTAAAATTACAGCAGTTTTTCCTGTCAGTAAACCTCAGAGATGGGAAGATCTGTATTCACTTAATTTCCACCTGTCCCTTATCTGCTGAACTTTAACTTTAGTTAGAACATGGTAGCCACGTTTCCACCTTCCCACCCTGCTTCTTGAATTTCTTGAAAATCAAGTTATTTGCTGCAGTTGTGTCCCATCTCACCCCGGAAAAAGCATATTTAAAGGCTAAGATAAAGGAAAACCAGAGAAATACAAAAATAAGAAAATAAACTGAATAGCCAAAAGGGGAATGGAAAGACAGGAGTTTATGACAAAAGCATTTAAGAAATGAATGGATTAGGTGAAAAACAGACAAATTTCGAAAAGTAGGGGGAAACAGCCAAAACAGTAAGTGAAGGAAGAAACAGGTGTTAAGACAGAAATATTTAACAGCTAAACCGGTGTCAAAAGGAGATTTTTAATTTTGAAATCTGCCATATAACCTCATCACGTCGAAGCTCGTTTAGCACAAGGAAGTTGTTGCAGAGGCAGGAGCTGAAAAGGCTGCAAGTCTAAGCCCACCAATCACAGACCTGAAGATAGGAGCAACCACAAATACCAGGAGGGGGACAAATGCGAAAAGCGCCAGCACGGACCCCACGAAGCCGAGCATCGTCGCCTCTCCGCCGACTCCGGCTCTCGCAGCAAGAACCTCCCAGCGACGCGCGAAACCGCACAGGAGCAGCCGGAAAGGAGAAGCGTGAGCGCAGAGTGCTGGGATTGGCGGGAGGGAGAAAGAGAGAGCGGGGCGGGGGCGGGGCAGAGGGAGGGCGGGGCGAGAACCCATTTATTGGTGCGCCGTAGAGATAGGAAAGAAATAGAATGACACGCAATCTAAGCTTTCGATAAGCGCCCAAACTGGCCGTTGGCCATTTTTCACCCGTCGTGTCGCTGAAGCTACGTTTTAAAGGCACTTCTGTGGTAAAAACTCCGTGTGTTTTGCATTGGAAGCCGACTTGGTAGTCTTTGTTTATTTGAAAGCATTTCTTCTCAGTGCTGGTGCCACCTAGTGCCGGATTTACGTATAAACTAAACAAGCTATAGTTTGTTTAGGGGGGGATTAAAGGGAAAAAAACCTGGATATACATTTCCAAAATATAAGATAAAAAAAAAACCTACGTACAGCAACAGTGTTTTGTGTAGACTCCTATGGTGTAAGTAATGGGCCCCGCCTGATAGCCTGATCCCTAAAATATCACTGGTTTGCTCATTTCTATATATAGGGTGCCTACATTCTGCATGGACTGGTTGCATGGCCACATGTGCAAATGGTTTAGATACCTATTAGGTCCATAAATTACCATATAGCATATAAAGTAAAGGTAAAGGGACCCCTGACCATTAGGTCCAGTTGTGACCAAATGGAGTTGTGGCGCTCATCTTGCTTTATTGGCCGAGGGAGCCGGTGTACGGTTTCCGGGTCATGTGGCCAGCATGACTAAGCTGCTTCTGGCAAACCAGAGCAGCGCACGGAAACGCCGTTTACCTTCCTGCCGGAGTGGTACCTATTTATCTACTTTCACTTTTTGGGGCGCTTTCGAACTGCTAGGTTGGCAGGAGCAGGGACCCACAGCGCCACCCGTGTAAATTACCATATAGCATATATTCAACACAAAAAACAGTGACAATTTGTAGTTGACAAAGGACAGCCGGACATATAAAGGCCCCAATACCTTCAGTACCTGACTCCGTCGGTTGCCTTTTGCGGTAAAAGGTAACGTGGCTCTCCCCAACCCGCTCCCCACTCTGAAAAGTGCACCGGAAAGTGAAGAGTTAAGTATTGGAGTGGAAGTTCCATCAGTCTTCAAGGGAAGCCATAGACAGAAGAAAAGTGAAGACTGGCCTTTCTGTTGTCTGACAATGAGGCATCTTCGTTGCTGCATTGTGTTCCATTGGCTTCCCTTGCAGCTGCTTTTACTCTTAGAAAAGCATTGGATGAGCAAAGAAAACCCCGTAAACTGAGCAGTGTGTGAGAGGATACATTTGTTAAATTTCCAAGCACTGGGTGAAAGAGGTTATTATTATTTTTGCTCTCACAAATGCAGCTTGTGTCCCGCCTTTCCCAAACTGCATTTCCCCGAGTGCATGGGATTAACAGTTTCCAACTGTATTCCTAGACATTATACTGGAATTATAGATTATTTGTGTTTCCTCATTCATTTCCAGCATCTTATTTGTTGTAATCGCATCCACATCATGTTAGGATTTCCATATTTTGAAGAGCAAAAAAAGAGGACACTATGGAGACTCTCATTTTAAATACCCCTACTATATGCTATAGAAGCTCTGATATATTGTGGGGGGGGGGGTTTGCAGGAAGAGAGAGGAGGAAAGCAAGTATTTAACCACCACTTATATCTGTATCTCATTCAGAAAGTATAGCCAGAGACATTTTGGCAAATTTCAAAAAATCCACTGGGACAGAAAATTTCCTCCCAAAAAAGAGAATGTGCCCTTAAAAAAGAGAACACATAATAATAATAATAATTTTTTATTTATACCCCCCCCCAATCTGGCAGAGTTTCCTCCACCACTCTGGGCAGCTTTCCAATCGAGTGTTAAAAACAATGCAGCATTAAATATTAAAAACTTCCCTAAACAGGGCTGCCTTCAGATGTCTTTTAAAGAGAAGATAGCTGCTTATTTCCTTCACATCTGATGGCAGGGTGTTCCACAGGGTGGACGCCACTACATTCTATGTGTTTTACATTTCCAACATGTTTTATCTCCAGTCTTGTACATTTTTTCCAGTTTTACAGGTGTGATGTACCATCTGTACATCATTTTTTCCATATTTTCTCTAAGTGCCGTACAAGCTGTGAATTTCATTCCTTTATTCTAAAGTCTCGCCCAACTGTCATATTCTAAATTATATCCAAAATCTATCGCCAATTTTACCATTACTTCTTTTATCTCTTCATCTTTGGTATCCCATTCTAGTAACTGGTTATACATTTTGGATAGAAGTTTAGATTTACCTTCTAATATTTCTACCTGGTATCTGGATTTTTTTTCATTCATCCCTGCCTTTTTATCTTCAGTTCACAGAGCATTAATTTGGTGAAATTGGAGCCAACCTGTTAATTTATTCTTTATCTCTTCATATGATCTGATTTTCCATCCTTTTTCTGTTCTTACTAGAAGATCTTCATAAGTCCATCTTTCACCTTCTGTGTTTATTTTTTTAACTGTTAAGATGTCAATTGGTGATAACCACCAGGGAGTGTTTCTTTCGAGCAGCTTTTTATTTTTCTCCCATACCTCAAGCAGTGGCCCTCTAATAATATGGTTAGAGAATCCTTTATGGGCCTTTTCTTTATTGTGCCACAGATATGCGTGCCATCCAAATCTGATGTTAAAACCTTCTAAGTCCAGGAAATCTGTGTTCTTTATAACAATCCATTCTTTGATCCAACAAAGGCACGAGGCTTCATAATATAATCTCAGATTTGGAACCGCAAATCCTCCTCTGTCTCTTCGGTCTGTGAGTAATTTAAATTTAATTCTCGGTCTTTTCCCCTGCCAAATAAATTTCGAGAGAGTTTTTTGCCAATCTTTAAATACTGAGGTTCCCCTAATTACCAGAATATTTTGGAATAAAATAAGCAGTTTCGGCAGTATATTCACCTTAATTGCCGCCATTCTTCCAGACCATGAGAGTTTTATCCTGTTCCAAGTATCTAAGTCCTTTTTTATTTCTTTCCAGGTGTTTGTATAATTATCTTCCATTAAGTTTATGTTTTTCATGGTTAACCATATTCCCAGGTATTTTACCTTTTTTACCACTTTAATCCCAGTCTGTGACTCGAGATGTTTTCTTAAATCTTCCTTCATGTTCTTAGTCATCATTTTGGTTTTTGTTTTATTTAGCTTAAAGCCGGATAACTTTCCAAATTCCTCTAATAATTCTAACACTTTACCAACACTTTTTTGTGGATCTTCTAACGATAACATCAAATCATCAGCGTATGCTTTCAGTTTATATTCTTTTACACCAATTCTAATTCCACGTATCTCTGATATTTTCCTTATCTTATTCGCAATTATTTCTAGCACCATTATAAACAAAAGAGGTGACAGAGGGCACCCCTGTCTTGTACCCTTCGAGATTTCAAATGAGTCAGTTAAGTTATTATTGATAATCAGTTTAGCTCTTTGATCCGAATAGATCGCTTTTATTCCCTCCAAGAATGTGCCCTCTATCCCTGCTGTTTCCATACATTTTAATAAGAATTGCCAAGATACATTATCGAAAGCCTTTTCAGCGTCAATAAAAATTAATGCCGCGGGGATTTCATTTTTACATTTCAAGTATTCAATAATATTTATTATGTGCCTTACATTATCTTTTAATTGCCTATTGGGTAGAAATCCGGCTTGGTCCATATGAATAAGATTGATTGAACATTTATTGAGCCGATTCGCCATTACTTCTGCATAAATTTTATAGTCATTATTTAATAATGATATTGGTCTGTAGTTCTTAATATTGAGTGTATCTGAGTCTGGTTATCAACGTAATGTATGCTTCTTTCCAGGAATCTGGTATCTTTCCTCCTCTTAAAATGTTATTTGTTACTTCGCACAACACCAGTGTTAGATGTTCTTCCAGGACTTTCTAATACTTAGCCGATAAACCATCAGGCCCTGGGGCTTTCCCTAGTTTCATCTTAGAATCATAGAATCATAGAGTTGGAAGAGACCACAAGGGCCATCGAGTCCAACCCCCTGCCAAGCAGGAAACACCATCAGAGCACTCCTTACATATGGTTGTCAAGCCTCTGCTTAAAGACCTCCAAAGAAGGAGACTCCACCACACTCCTTGGCAGAAAATTCCACTGTCAAACAGCTCTTACTGTCAGGAAGTTCTTCCTAATGTTTAGGTGGAATCTTCTTTCTTGTAGTTTGGATCCATTGCTCCATGTCCGCTTCTCTGGAGCAGCAGAAAACAACCTTTCTCCCTCCTCTATGTGACATCCTTTTATATATTTGAACGTGGCTATCATATCACCCCTTAACCTCCTCTTCTCCAGGCTAAACATGCCCAGCTCCCTTAGCCGTTTCTCATAAGGCATCGTTTCCAGGCCTTTGACCATTTTGGTTGCCCTCCTCTGGACACGTTCCAGTTTGTCAGTGTCCTTCTTGAACTGTGGTGCCCAGAACTGGACACAGTACTCCAGGTGAGGTCTGACCAGAGCAGAATACAGTGGCACTATTACTTCCCTTGATCTAGATGCTATACTCCTATTGATGCAGCCCAGAATTGCATTGGCTTTTTAGCTGCCGCGTCACACTGTTGGCTCATGTCAAGTTTGTGGTCAACCAAGACTCCTAGATCCTTTTCACATGTACTGCTCTCAAGCCAGGTGTCACCCATCTTGTATTTGTGCCTCTCATTTTTTTTGCCCAAGTGCAATACTTTACATTTCTCCCTGTTAAAATTAATCTTGTTTGTTTTTGCCCAGTTCTCTAATCTCTCAAGGTCATTTTGAAGTGTGATCCTGTCCTCTGGGGTGTTAGCCACCCCTCCCAGTTTGGTGTCATCTGCAAATTTGATCAGGATGCCCTTGAGTCCATCATCCAAGTTGTTGATAAAGATGTTGAATAAGACCGGGCCCAAGACAGAACCCTGTGGCACCCCACTAGTCACTCTTCTCCAGGATGAAGAGGAACCATTGATGAGCACCCTTTGGGTTCGGTCAGTCAGCCAATTACAAATCCACTGAGTGGTAGCATAGTCAAGACCGCATTTTACCAGCTTCTTTACAAGAATATCATGGGGCACCTTGTCAAATGCCTTGCTGAAATCAAGGTAGGCTACATCCACTGCGTTCCCTTCATCTACCAGGCTTGTAATTCTGTCAAAAAAACGAGATCAGGTTAGTCTGACATGACTTATTTTTCAGAAATCCATGCTGACTATTGGTGATCACAGCATTCCTTTCTAGGTGCTCACAGACTGTTTGCTTAATGATCTGCTCCAGAGTCTTCCCTGGTATTGATGTCAGACTGACTGGGCAGTAATTATTTGGGTCCTCTCTTTCCCCCTTTTTGAAAATAGGGACAACATTTGCCCTCCTCCAGTCTGCCGGGACTTCGCCTGTTCTCCAGGAATTCTCAAAGATGACTGCCAGTGGTTCTGAGATCACATCTGCCAGTTCTTTTAATACTCTTGGACGCAGTTCATCTGGCCCTGGAGACTTGAATACATCTAGACTAGCCAAGTATTCTTGTACTATCTCCTTAGTTATTCTGGGCTGTGTTTCCTCTGCTGAATCATTTGCTCCAAATTCTTCAGGTCGGGCATTGTTTTCTTTATTGGAGAAGACTGAGGCAAAGAAGGCATTGAGGAGTTCAGCTCTTTCTGTGTCCCCTGTTTGCATTTCACCATCTTCTCCTCTGAGTGACCCCACTGTTTCTTTGTTCTTCCTTTTGCTACAAACATACCCATAAAAGCCTTTTTTGTTGCTTTTAACCTCTCTAGCAAGCCTGAGTTCATTCTGTGCTTTAGCTTTTCTGACTTTGTGTCTACACGCGCTGGCTATTTGTTTGAATTCCTCTTTGGTGGTTTCCCCCCTTGTCCATTTTTTGTACACATCCTTTTTTAATCTTAACTCAGTTAAAAGTTCTTTAGATAGCCAACCTGGCTTCTTTAGGCACCTTCCATGTTTCCGTCTCATTGGTATTGCCTAAAGTTGTGCTTTTACTATCTCCCTCTTAACAAACTCCCAGCCATCATGAACTCCCTTTCCTTTTAGTATTACTGTCCATGGGATCTCACCCAGCACTTCCCTAAGTTTTATGAAGTCAGCCTAAGTTTTATGAAGTTTTATGAACTTTATCTTCTTTATCGCCTCTTGGATTTCCTCTATTTTTATGGGTTTGTTTAGTTGGCTTTTCTCCTCTTCCGTTCAACATTCAATTCTATTGTCTTCTAAGTATTTTTCTATTTCTGTTATATCTTCCTCTTCTCTTTTATATAATTTTTCGTAAAATTTAAGGAAGCTTTTCTTTATTTCATTAGGGTCTTCCAAAAGTTTCTCTTCTATTTTTATTTTGTTAATCACGTTTTGGTTTTTTGGTTTTCTTAATTGCCACGCCAATAATTTCCCCGTTTTATTTGCTGATTCAAATAATTTTTGTTTCATTGACTTAATTCTCCATTCCACTTCTTGGTCTATTAACATTGAATATTGTGTTTGCAACATCTTATACAATTGCTTATTTCGTTCCTCACTAGGTTTTGTTATTAATTTTTTTTCACAATCTCTTAATTCA